CTTTTCGCCGCCTGTCTGAGTCCTCCAACAGCCTGTGCGGTTTTTGGTAACTCGACACTAGAACGAGCTGATATAATATTCGAAAACGAGATTACCATGAGGAACAAACAGGGTGACAAAGTTTTATTGGAGACTAGTAGAAGTGATCCATGCGGTTTTTATTTTTCTTTTCAATTTTACATTGTCCATTCTCCGTTATGGAGACGAGCTGTGTGAAATACACATAGTCTAGCATATATTCAAACTTAAGTTCATTAACTTCAACAAGTCGTTCTGTCACATATTTCTTAAACACGTCCATTTTCAGTCATAACTTCATGCTGATGTCGTTGAGCTTTTCGATTTCTGTTCTAAGCTCTTTTGATGATTTTGGGTAGAACAGAATATTGTCCAGAAACCACGGATGGCTTAGACAATGGCCAGTTATGTTCAATCCCTGATTTTCCCAACGGAACGTCTTAAAGGCTTCTTCTAGGGATGCAGTGAATAACTTCGGTGATACTGCTCTCACTGTCGGAGGCAATTTGACTCTGAGCCTGCTTGTGGACTCGAAGTTTCTGACTAGCAAATGCATTATTGTAAATCATGATGATGAGGAGTCTGTGTTTCCTCGATTCCCCGTTACCTCAATGAATCCAGAACAGAAAGGATGTAGTCAGAGTCTAAAGTTTCCTCGAAACTGACGAACCCCAGTAATTACTTGTTCAATCACCTGCAGATGATTCATCGTACTAAATCAACGGATTGATGAAGCCTGTTTGTTTTCCTTTGGTTGTGTAGCGTTCAGTATCTCTTGAAATCTGTTCGTCAGTACCTTCGTAAAAAATCTCACGTACATAACTGGCAACATGCGAATCAGACTGTGGTTCTTGAGATCCTCTGTGTATTATTTTTAGTAGAATCACCTACGTGGTACTCGAATCGTGTCGAATTATCAATTCGTTTAGACAGCGTGAAAACAAGCGCGTGTAATAACTTGGTCAGTGCTTCACTTTTAGTATATATCCAGTGCCAAACAAAACGCGAACGAACCATGTAGATGCAGCTCGTTCGACTACCTCTCTATCTTATGGACAGACCGAGATGTAGCAGCATGGCTTGTTCGATTTGCAGACAGGCCAGATATATGCTGATCTGCGACTTGGTCGAATCAAACAACACGCTGGCTTTTGGTGCTGGGACACTGGCAGTACATGGAGCCATATCAACTACGGTAGTTGCCAAGCGTTAGTCGTTCATAGTTGCGCAACGGAGAATGGAGGAGAGCGCTGTTCTGGAAACTTGTGCACATCCGATGCTAAATACCTGCTAGATATTGAGGTACGTCCGAATCCGAATGAGTAACAGACAGCGGGCGAGAGGGAAGTTGGACGCTGACTTGCATGTGGTGTGCTCATTCATTACTCTGCCGGCAACAACCGATCAGGTAGTGATGTAGGCGAAAGTATGTATCGTTTGAAATTAATAATCACTCGTCGCGTCGCACGCAAGCTGGGATTTAACCAACAGGAGTCAGACGGAGGACACAACGAAAAACTACCTCAGACAATATAACGAAGAAGACAGACGCATGACATGTAGACGTGGACAGAGACAAACACAGAGACGGAGATACAATGTGAATAGAATGATTTGCGCTCGTTACCAGATTGAGTCGTCGGTTGGTGCTGGTGACAAGACAACTGTGGATCGCTGGCCGTTCGTTCGACGGTGTCGCTGTCGAAGACGAAATCCGCGGTTCTACCGGCCGGCGGCAGATGGCCATTTTTCCAGCAACGCGGCGAAGGGAAGCGTCGCAACAACCGGTCAGTGTCAGGGGCGAGAGCGACACCGGCAGCGGAAGCGGCAGCAGTCAAGCGTTGAGTTTCCATTGGAAGGCGACGGAGAACGCGATGACGCTGAAGTACAACAACGGCGGATCTGAAATGGCTCACTCATGCCCGACCGTTAGGCCGAGGGAGGGGAGATTTGGAAAACAACGAAGTACAAAATGAGACTGAGGCAGCAACTGCGACAGGCAGCCGTCGCGAGGAGGTTCCGAAGACGATCGCAGAAGTGCCTAAGAACAGAACGACGAAATCGACAATCGACAATAACGACGAACAAGGACACCTGCCGAGTGTAATTCCTCAGTCAAACGGTTGACTGCGGCACTGCTTCGGCGATACAAAGACGGGGGCGGAGGCAGAGGAACAGGCAGAGTCAGAGACAGGCAAACAGGGAGCGAAACAAACAACGACTGGCGGCAAAAAAAAATACAGCTGACTACGGCGACGTACACACGGTGTCGACAACCGCGTTCAGCTCGGTTTGACTCAACTGAGCTTGGTTAGGCAGCTCGATGGCTTTGGACTCAGTGGTTCGCTGGTTCGCTTCAAGTCGTTTGGCGGTATGACGAAGGTCCTCCGTTATGTTCACTGCGTGTTCACGTTGCTCGATGCCAGTGTGCGCCAATCAATGAACGATGGTGCTGCTCACTGCTTTCGCGGTCGCACCTGCAAGAGCTAAGTTGTATATCGCGAGGTCACTGCGAACAGAGCGAGAGAGGGAGGCAAAACGAATACGCTAGCGAAAGTTCGCGAAGAAAGCGGTACGACGCACAACACGACATCAATGGCTACAATATTAACCGCAACTTTAAAAAAACTGTCCGCCACTGACTACGAGAGAACCAGTTTCTGCCCGAGGCTTCAACGAAAATGGCTAGCACCTGAAGCAACGGGGATTAAATCGAATCACTAGCTCGTTAGTCCTCCAGCGGCAGCATGAAACAAGTCGTGAAAACCGTCATATCCTCTGAGTCATCCATCAACGTCCCGCATAATCGTCGTTTGCACTAGTCGGAAGTTAGACGACTGCCGCCAGAACTATCAAAGCAAGCACAACCACATGCACGCATAAAGACACCAGTCAGTCCCGTCTTGCTACGACGGTACTCGTCACCACCAAATCAGCAGCAGCCAGCCTTGACCATGACAGAAAAGGTCAATTCGGGCCTCGTAGCCGCACAGCCTGGCGTTTAGTGAAAAAATTCTCGGGCTATTTAACATGTATCGCTGCAGCCCTCCAGAAAACCATCTCATGACAGCGGACAATGACTAGCGTTGTGGGCAGAACATCACAATATATCCTATGGTGGCAATAAACGGTACAGGAAATTTGCAGCATTCGGAAATTTACCAAGCCCAGATTTATTAGGTCTCTGATCTGACCTGCTGTAAGCTACGCACGAGAAATCGAATCTGAAAATACTGCTGGACACAACACTTCTTCTGGAGAAAATAAAAGGGCAAAAACTGCCATATTTCGGCGGCATCATGAGGTGGTGCGTGGAAAAAAGACCAGACCGGGGCTGCAGTTCCAACTCAGAATCAAAAAGTTCCACATCCGAGCCCCTGGACGGGTGATTCATCTTTTTTCTTCTGATTTTGATAAATGAGTACCACTCTGTACAGGGGTGACTACGCGCTTTGCTTGCCGTATATCTGCTGTCAACTGAGCCTTCAAACTATGGCACTACCGGATGATGACATTAAAATGAAGATTACCAATAACTTGTGTACAAAATGTGTTACTAAAGGGCGTACTCCGGGCGCGAGACCAAGAGGTAGACCGAGAAAACTCTGAGTGAATGTAATGACACAACGACACAGCATTGTCATTCCCGAAATGGAGATCGCACACGAGTTTCAGAAGTGGCATGAAACGAACATAACATCATTTCGACACGTCATGAGGAGTCAAACCTCAGTATAAAAAGTTATGCTTCTTCACCATGAATTTAACAGACACGAAAAAGGTAGTTAGGATTCGAAACCTCAAGCCCCTTAAGCAGATTCCAGCAGAAGAAAAAAAGAGAAGAACTTGAATTAATCTGGACGTCATTCTTAATTAAGGCTTCCATGAGGGATAAGTTCACATGGAGCTTATAGTTCAGTTGTATCGAGGCTGTTTAGCATGAACAGCAATGGATTCATAATCGAGAGTTCCAGGGTTGGAGTCCTTCAACCCGGTTAATAGCTTTTCTTTCTTCAGAGACTGATGAGTACTGCTCTGCAGGAAGGAAGCAGGAGAGTACAAGCCGTGGCTGCCACGTAGGGTACTCCTAACAGAAGGCATGGAAACGAAGATCAGCGCTCCACCACAAGATTTATGAAAAGATGGGCGCCACAAATGGCCCCATCATTAAAAAAAGGGAGACCGACACCCCAAAGGTTACAATTTTCCAGCTTCTTTTATTCTATAATAAAGTGGACATTTCCGTTTTGTTAACAACAACCAAGAATGCCGCATTTAATGAACAAAAAAAAGAAACTAGCTAGGTAAATAGGGACGAAAGGAGAACAGGAAGAATGAATCAATTAATCAATTAATGAATCAATTTAACAATGAATGAATCAAAGAACGAATGAGTGAATCAGTGAATGAATGAATGAATGAACCTTAACTGGCAGTTGAAAAGAAGACATAATTCATTAACTTGGACTTGGACTTGTAACTGGACGCGCAAAACGTACAAGAATCAGTAAGCAAAGGAACCACGAGTAAAGTCGATACAGAACCGCAAAGAGAAATTAATATAGTTATCCCGAAGGAGAGCTGTGTCACAATAAGCGAGTTTACGTTGTGCAATCGAACCTCACTGAGACTGAAGCTTGCGCACTGAAACTGCAGATTACATCTACGGCTGCTCTCCATAACGCATCCTCGGCATCTCCGTCGCGGACGGCGAGCAATGACCAAGGATCGTGATTATATGAGGTAGGAATACGGTGCATTGCGTAGTCAAGAGCCGTTACGATAGATGAAAAGGTCTGTCAAGAAACCTAAAACGGTCGTCTAACGAAGATCTGTTGACCGGACCTGGCAGCTGTCCTTGAGACTTTTAAGGCAGTTATACCAAAAAGAACACTCTAACCATAAGCTCGAGGGGAATCAGCGGCGGGCGTGCCGTGTATAACAAATATCAACGAACGAAAGATGACAATTCACAAGACCGACGATGCTTAAGGGATATACGGATATCTGAATGAGTGACGTAACAACCTTTGAAATGCATAAATTGCTAAAATCAGCATAATCCGAAATCAAATCTTTGCCCAAACTTTGACATTCATGCCATCTGAGCGGTAGGAAACTGTCACATCTACAGACATGTGTAGCACGTCTTTCTTTTTACAAAATGATATTCATCTATCTACTTCAGTAGAAAAAAAGATTAATGGGTCGGTCACTATTCTAAACCTTGACCTTTCGATTGTGGGTCTAGCATACTACAGAATGGCCAACAATGGTGTATATGAGAAGATATGGCTCATTACCAAGCTCTCTGAAAAAACTCAAAGTTATCGTCCGCAATACTTGCCGAAGAAACCGTAGAAAGATGAATAAACCAGCGGAGGATAACTTGTCGTATTAAACCGTCAGGTGGTATCTGGAACAAGACGGAAGACAACCTGACACTGGCATCATAATAGACAATTAACACCGGATCACCATCCGCTACACCGAAGTTCACGAGACAATTACGTGAAGTATTAATCGTGCAATCACCTACATCTCAAATATATGAAAGCATCGACTTTTGCTTTCAAGGTTTAGTTTAGTTTGGTTTGGAATCACCATGGGATCACTGATCGGTGTGGCGCTAACAGATAGGTACATTGATCATCATGAAATTAAACCTTGTGGTTCATTAAACCTTGTGGTCTATCTAAGGTTTGTGGATGACGACCACATCTTCCCGGTATTTATAAACTTAACATTTCCTTGATCAAATGCACATGTTCAAAAATTTCATGACGACCCTTGATAAGTTCAGACAGATCAACTTCACTGTGCGAAACGAAGACAAATACCAAATCGGCTTTCTGGACATGCTGGTTAAGAATAAACGTTACATGTTGATACAGTATCTAAGAGATCTGCTTCGAACTCTGGAGGTGCCAGTTCGTTTCCGCTCAAGGGCAATTTTTGTCTTATTCACGAATTCCGATGAGCGAGTAATTCACCACACATTGCTTCAGACCGGGCTTACTCAGTCGATAGAGCGTCGAACTCAGAATCGATATGCCGCGGTTTCTCAGATCGTTCTTCCTTTCAAGACTGATAAATGAGCACCATACTGTGAGAAGGAAAGAGGAGAGTTCACGCTATGCTTGCCACATGGCTGTAGACTCTGCCTTTTAAAAATAAGGTACTCTTAGCCTATGGCTAAGATCAGCACTGAACCAGTAGCGTCACGGAAAGACGGCGTCAAAATGGCCAAATCATGAAAGAGAAGGAAGACCGACATTTCAAAGGTGATAAACTTTCTTTTTTCTTTCTAAGAGCAAAGGAGTTAAAACCAAAAAACCATTTGATGTTGGAGTTCGTCGAAAACTTCAGCATTCAAACAGGTATTTAAAAGCAAAGCGTTGGGCCCCGAATTTAATTTTTTTAAAATACTAAAACACATGAGACTCAGAGGTACTTTAGGGTTTGGGGTTGTGCCGATGATTCTGCCTACTAAGCGGAAGGTGAACATCTAAAAAATTTCATATGTAAACCTGGTCGGAGTAAGGAAATTATCACACGGCAATTTCTTAACGTTAAAGATAAAAATCCAGTAAAATAAAGTATCCCAACAACACTCATCTCTTTAACCATATAACAAAATCAGACAACTTATATAAAATAAGGCCGTTCGAAGCTTCTATAAAATGGACGGTTAATTGGAATCGCAAATCTACCGGATTTCACCAACCGGAGATAACAAAAGAAATGAACGCGGTTTATAAGGTGATAATAAGTACAATGACTGCGACATTGTCTACAATGAGGTAACAATGTGACGAGTTGAGGAGCACCCAGCAGCTCTGAGAAATGGGAAAACGGAGCATTCTGGCATAGGTTCCAATTCTTTCTATTTGAGACATTCCCTTAGACCGAAAGAACGCAATTTCCGATCATAATGAGACAACAAACTTCGGGCTGTTAATCAGAGAATCGTAACACGCGTTGAAACAAAAGCCGGCTGCGCAATAAATGTGTGAACTGGTTTCGTCTGAGTGGCCGCTGGAATACTGTCGGTCAGCTTGTACGCAAGAATTGACGGAACAACCGAATTAACATTATTGTCACTCAAAATATTACAATACTCATTTCATGATATCGAGCTGTTTTATTTATGTACCATAACCCGGATGATTATTTCAGTTATAAGATGACTGAAAACAATTTTCAGCCATAAAGCGTACAAATCGGACAGCATGGCGCGTGTCTATTACGCTTTGGCATGACCAGACCAAAGCACCATGATGTCCCCATTATTAGCAAGTCAACGAACTGCTACCCGTGTTTCGCCTGGTAGCATCGCAGCACGGTGGGGTGAATTCATTGCTTAAGAGAATTCGCAGCAAATAAGCAAAAACTTAGACACCCCGTGTTGCGTTAGAACCCACACTCTAACGTGCACAGCAACCTACAAACCAAATGCGCCATTGCCACCCCCAACGCTGGTATGTGGA